TCTCTTTTCTTCTTTTATTTTTATAGCAATAAAGTTACTATGGATCGATTTCTTTTAATCACGTTTTTTTGTGTCAACTGGTCACATCTTGCCTTCAGTCAGGGTAGGTATAATTTGATGTTATTTATAATATCAAAGGCTGAAGGTATGAATAATAATCCTGATCATTATATATTATTATTTTTTAGCTGCTTTACCATGGACCTATATTCCAAATGCCTTACTAGGTAAGAATTTACTTGATATATAAAGGTGTGTGTATTGTTAAATTTCTTTCAATCTTTTGTATTACGTCATTTGGCGATCGCAACACACTAGAAACTACCGAATTTTCTCAGTACTGATTCCTTAAACCTTCAGTGTGAAAGGGATCTTTTACCACCAATCTTATATCAAGTCTAAGACAAAAATAGATTCCAGTACATTAACGACAATGAGGTTTCCCTCATCAAGCCTCAGTGAAAAAAAATAATAGAAGTGGACTGAATAAAACTCCTCAACGTTGGGGATTTCACAAAAAGCCCCCAAAACATAGTTTGGGGACTGAAAAGGTGATTATATTACATGTAACGTGGTGAAGGTAGTTAACTAAGTTAAAATATCAAGCTATAATAATTAATATAATTAATGAATAAATGTCAGGTAAATGTAATATTTCGTTTCCTCTTTATCCAGCCCTTCTCCAAAAATCTTAAATTTCGTTACTGCAACACTGCTATGCTGAGTAAAAGTGTTTCACAGCGGACCGATCTAATCCACTTTCAACACGTTTTGCAATTAGTTAGCAGGACCCCGTTTCTGCTCTATGGGTGATTGGCCATCTCCATTCTTATTCTGCCCATTAATTTTTGAACATATGTGTCGAGCAAAATAAAAAGGTCGCCAAGAGATCTTTTTATATTTCTGGTGCGATGGAATGTAACGGTTTTCCTCCCCATAATAAATCAAAGGAATCCTTCATTGAATTCTCAAGGGACACTTAAGACTTTTTTCTTAATTAGATGATACGTTTTATGATATGTGTAGATGCATTCTTCTTTTATATATTTTTGGCCGTGTGACAATTTTCTAACTGAATTTTTACCTTTTGGACCTTTTGTATTTTTACTTATGTACTCTATAAATAAGAGGACCTCATTTGATACCAGTGTTTATCACACTGACGGGGTTTATCCTGTATATAAATATTATTATTAGTAGAAGTATCATACGAAACTTCAAGTTTGGTCGAAAAAATTATGTTTCCTCCAGCTGCTTTTGTTCAGATTTTGATCAAATACTTCATTTT